GCGTGCGACTTGCAATTGTTTTTCGTACTTTTCAGCGCTAACTGTTTTGCCTTCTATAAATAAGCCTACATAAGCCTAGGGCGGTGTTATAGTCGTCTACTAAACATGAACTGACTTCTATCTCGCCGAAGAGGGAGCACACTAGCAGATTAGTCGCCGCGTGCCGCGAGCCGCGTGGTCTCCCTCAAATACGTTAGCGCCTTTATTACTTTTCTCAATTTATTTATGATTTATCATGGCTCATTTTCATCGTGTTTCTCATATCTATCCTCGATCCCTCGACTAATTTCGCTTTTTTTGTCGTTTATTTTCGCAGATCTTCCATTTTTCGGTAGTTGTTTGTCCGCTGCTGATCTGGTCCGCTGCTACCAGATTAGCAGCGGACAAGGGGGGGTCGTATCGAGACCCTTTTTCAGAGGGGGGGGGGCGTATGTATTAGAAATTGGTCACAACGCGATGGTGCTGGTGCTCTGTGGCATAGGAGAGGTGCTGCAGCAAACGCGCTCTGCTGAGAATAGCGCGCTTCATGCGCGCCGCACCAGACCCACTTATCCTCGCGGCCTGCAGCTGACTGGTCCTGAATATACACTTTTTTGATGCTCACTGCCACTACAGTATACTAGAAAAGCGATGGCGCTCTACAGCTAACTATTAGTTTTTTTTTCTGCTGTACGTTGGTAATCGGACGAATTCAGCTCAGACGCCATGTAAGTATAAATGCAGAATACTCCGAAGGGATTAGTGATTGGTGGGCTACTGCTTTAGGAACTCTCTCGCAATAATAAGCAAGCTTCTATTTCAAAATTTCCGTAAGAAATGGAGACTTGTGAACGCGGGGTAGGACGGAATGGGTGCTACCATTTTTTCTCTGCTCGCCCGCGCCTTCTATCGATTTTCCTGATCGTCTGCGCCCTTCTACCGAGGGAGTTATGCCACTTATGCTTCCTCAACAGATTCAGTAGTTGCTTTCACACCACAGTGCTTTCCAGTCCGGTTATCTGCCAAAGGTAATCTTCACTCATACATACATTTAAAAAACACGACACCATTCGAGTACTACTACACCAGAATGTTTCCCATGAAGGCTTAGAAACATTAACTGCTTCATGATTCAGACACGATGTCAATGTCTCTCAACAATCTCGTGGGGACTCTCCCATTAGTCCAAGATGAGTTCATCTGCTACTTAGTCCGAGGTCGGTTCATCTGCTTCTTCTGCAAGTCCGCTTTTAATTCACGCAGCCGCCTGGAAGAGCATTTGGTAAGTAGCTTAGGCTCAAAGATTTTTCTAATCATCTTCCAGCTTCTTCGCTTTCTGTATTGAAACCACTAAGGGAACATAAGACCCAGATTACCAAAACTGGTTCACTATGAATGGAATGTGGTAAAGTTTGCAAGATCGTCTGTCATTCTGCTACAGTATTGATCGGAAGTGGGGGGCTGGGTTTAGCGCGGCCCCAGCCTGTTTTTTTTCACTAATTGCGGTTGCCTGCCAGCTTCCGAAAATGGTGGACGACAGGCTGACTCCTTCTCGCATTGTCATCTTACTGATTTGTGTGAGGATGACTCAGAAGGAAGAGGGAGAAGGTACACATACCTGCGCGGGAACGGAAAAATCAACAATGAAAAGATTTTTTCCAGGCCATATTTGACACCTTCCGTTGGTGAGTCTCCGACGCGCACGTGTCGTGCTCTTAATTCCGCTTCAGTAAGACTGGCATAGCAATGAGGTGCCCTTCACCAATTAATGGTCTCTTCCAGGATGCGTCTATAGGGACGCTTCGCAACCAGGGTACTGCCTCGTTAAGAGTTTCCCAACAGAGCAGGCCTTCTCGGTCGTTGAGGTAGTTTATCATATTGGTCGATGGGGTCGTAAGACGTTGAAGACAACTTTTCAAGCCGTCACAGAATTTTCCTTGATTGTAGACTTTTCGCGGCTTTTCCGTTTAGTGTGCCATACAATCCCCCAACAAGTAGGTTGAGCAAAACCTGAAACTTTTCGGAATCTGCGAGAAAGTGGTAAAATGTTGACGAAATTTCAGGGAATGGTAGTTGGGATGCGGGCGGGAAGGTTTCGTAGGGTGCCTGACATCGCCGTCTCCTCAACCCCAATATTGTACCCAGGTTGCAAAGGTATTGTCTTCGCAAACACCAGAGAAAACGCTACACTCTCAGATTAGGCCCCTAGACGACCCGCATTTGCTGTTAGTAGGCGCTGGCGCTGGCGCAATGATAGTCTCATTTTCCCTATATGATCACATACAGTTGATATCGTCGCACTCAGTCTTGGCGGAGTCGGGAGGAGCAGAACAAACTCGCCTCCTGCTTCATTTCCTTCCGAGAGTAATCTGTTTGTGGTCAATACAGAGAGAAAAACCCTCTTGACGCCGACCCGACTGATCACAACGATGTCAATTATATGGGAGATTCCATATGATCACCCTCGATTATTGCAGCCGAAAAGCTGCCTCGCACACCTGCTACACTTTGCTTTCAGATTCGTTGTCTCTTGGGTACCTATCGTCCATGCGAACTGTGCAATGAATTTGCACCAATTATTGAGCGTTTCCGCCACGTGTGAGTTCCGTTTAACCTTTGGTTTAGTAGATATATCTACCAATTTAATAAAAAGTACACTTCAGGATGAATGTTCATAAGCAAAATATGTAAGCGCTACTCTTCAGCGACAACTGATCAAACACCACCTGTCGGACACTTTGCTGCCTCTTTATTCCTTTAAGGTGGATAGCCAGCGGAATCTTTCGCGTTGTCATTTTATTGCTGATAAAGTTGTTGTTAACGTGGCATCTTTCATGGAGCCGTTACTTGTTGGCAAGCTTGTCACATACTTTGTGGTGGATCAGATCTTTGAACACTTTTCAGTAGAGCTCTTCTCATGGTATGGAGATTCCTGATTGGAACAGAATAGTAAGGTTAATTCTAGCTGAGAAGTCCCGTGTAGGAAAAATAGCAGAGAAGAAGCATTCAGGAAATGGCAATTTTACCCATTACTTGTACCACAGAAAGAGCACTACGTGACCATATTTCATGCTCCTTCAATATATATTTCTATGACACCCTGGAACTACCGTCTTGACCCCTGCAAAGATAGGGCGTGTGAAATGGTTTGCTGGAGCGCTGCAACATCACCACTGATGCCATTCTGAATATGGAACGATTGGTGGGGAAGTTTCTGCCTGCGCTCTGACTCGCACCTCTTCACACACCCTATTGCTCTTATTGTTAGGGTTCATGATAATACGGATACATAATGCTATAACCAATACTGAGTACGATAAGGCGGCTCAAATTGCCCTTTCTCATTAAATTTTTCGCTTAATTTTTCACTTGAACCTCATTTGCATGTGATTCTCATCTGAAGTGGTTCTGATATCAGTCTTTTTCAGAGCACTCAATACCTTCTTCCTTCCCCGACCTTTTATCTGTGTGTTCAGGAGCAATAATGAATTTCGAGAATTTATTTGAAAAATTTCAAATATATATTTTATGTGATATTTCAATTTCTTCAATAACCACATATCTCACGATGTCTGGAAAGTTTTGAGAACATCATAACGGCAATATTCCGGTGCCTGCTTAGCGCCTCTTAACTACCATTAATTACCCTCGTGCTCCCAGGCTGATTATTTGCCATTGGGAGACAAATAAGTATTTCTTTGTTTCATTCCAGATCATTATACCAAGATTTCTGGCTTCAAAAGACATGCCCTTGGACTTGTATAAGACTATTTTTGACTCGAAAAATGTAGTCTCGCTCTTTCATGGCCTTTTCAAAACATGTCATGCGACTCGTTCCCTGGGTCGGAAAACTCGTCCTGATCACCAATCTATTCTATTTTCCATGTGACGGCTTGCATGAAGCGGCTAATCTTGACCGCGATACTCTTGTTTCTCAGTCAGGCCAACTACGAATGAACAACTGAAGGAATCCGGCAGTATTGCATTCCGGACGAGTTGTCCTACCCGAAAGATTCTTCCTGTCAGTGATGTGTCAGTAATCAGAAGCATTGTTATCGCGTTATGTGACACTTACTGACTGCAACAGAAAAGCATTTCGGCTTGAAGAAGATGAATTCGCCTTTCTCTAGGAGAACTTTGGACATTTGATGGTTGAGGGAGGTGGTTATGAGGTGCAAGAACCGCGAGTGCGTTTTCAGTAATCATGTCAGTTGTTAGTTGGAGCAGGCTTGAAGCAGGTCATACCACACCTGCTTCAAGCCTGCTCCAAGTCCTGATAACTCTTCTGGGTTACCAAACTATCAAACCATTTTTCTGGGGTAGAAGGAATATTTATCAGCACACTCGCGGAGGCCCACCCGACAACGCGAGAAAACATGCTGAACACGTCGGCTGCTTTTCTAGTCTTTTTGCATGGTTTGACCTTCTGACTCGTTTTCGGACCCCTCTCATGCAATGTATATCATTCACGCAGAGAGAAACATCTAGAAGAATCCTGCATTATAGTCTTGTTCTCTGCAGACACTGGTGCATGTTACGGGAAAGGGGTATGGCTCGGCGCCAGCCTGTTTTCCACCAATTACGTCGCATATCAACTTCCACAGTCGTGGAGAGCGCGCTAGCGCCGCGCCAAGCTCAGACCCCTGAATCGCTCAAACATGAGCAGGAAGAAGACTGACCATTATTCCGGACGAGTTGTCCTGATTCAGTGTTTTTGGATAACGTGTCAATGCAGCAGCGGTAACAACTTTATGGTGATAAACGAAACACACTCAGATTATTAAGTAAAAAGCGCCATATGGACCCAGATTATTGTGTGAACATATAGTTAGCATCGTTTTTTTTCGCGTTTCCATAAAATGTAAATTTAGAGCGCTAAGTTCTTTAAAACCTTTCACTTGGAGTATCACGACGAGTTGTAAAGACACTACCCTCAAACTTGCTGCTATTTTAAATGTACATCCTATTACATTTCCCTAGGACACATGACAAAAACGCAACTTGAATTTCGCGCCAGATTGTTGGTCCCGAAAAGATGTAAGGCGCGCACGTATAAGGTGAACTGTAAGCTGAACTAAGAACAGTGGCCCATCATCTGTTTGATGGCAGTCGCAATTATGTTCTTCATTTTTCTTTCTGTCCTTCGTAATGATTCAATTTTGATGGCGCATGACGCCTTATTCTACTGCTGCATCTGTGCTCTCCCACCGAGATAATAATTCCTCCATTCAATAGCCGGGCCTTGAAGAGCGTAACGGTATTGCACGTTTTCAACCACGTGAGCGCTAAGTTTCCAACAATCATCGCAAATATGTGGGAACCATTCTACAAATGAAATGAATCACATTAACTGGTACATATTTCAGGCATAATGTCAATGTCCATGAAAGAAATGCTGGATGCTCTCCCCATGCTTCGTGATATGCACATATGTTTCTTTTGCAAAGCCACTTTCAATTGCAAAAGAACTGGAAGACCATTTGGTATGTAGTTGAGCTGAGAGACTTTTCCATTACTC